CTTAATTTGTGTTCCGAAGATGAATGGAGGTCTTACGGGTTTGGAACGACATGAGGGTGAGTAATTAATGACAGAATTTTCATTTTTGGGTGAACTAACCCTTTAATGTTGATAGTTTTCTATGAATATGAACCTGAACCTCAAAACTCTCACCTAATCTAAACCTACAGCTAATGCCATGCCAGTCACAGTCATTTACTGATCACTAATCTTCTCCAAAGTCTTGGCTTCAAGCCCACTAATGTCTTTTTATCTGACCTAAAGCAAAATTATAAGACTACACTTCCCTAATCACAGAACAGGAACACTCTGTCTATCGTCACTCATTTTTATTGTCTCCTGTGGTTCACAATGGCATTTTCACCAAACACATACCTCAGTGCACACAAACACGTGCTGACGGTCACGCTGGCCACTGTAACGTCCATATTCATGTGGCAGAGCAGAGCCTGCCAGGAATCTGACAACAGGAGGACTTCACTTGACACTCATCCCCCCTTTCTAGAAACACGATTACATAACCACACAGGGGACAGTGCAAGGGAGAGGGGCCAATGGACAGTGATACTCCAGAAGCCCTGATTACCATGTGCCTTCAACTGACAGCTGTTAGAGTATTCCTCAAAGAAATATTTCACCCAAAAATGAAAATTTGCTAAACATTAACTCACTCTCAGGCCACCCAAGATGTAGATGAGGGAACAGGGAACAGGGAACAGATTTGAAGAAAGAGGATCAATTGATGAGCAAGTGATGTAATGCTACATTTCTCCAAATCTGTTTTGATGAAGAAACAAATTCATCTACATCTTGGATGGCCTGAAGATGAGTACATTTTCAGCAAATTTAAATGTTTGGGTGAACTCTTCCTTGAATGTGAAGTCGACATGGAAGTCTGACTAATAAAGCACGGCATCTGTTCTACATAACATAAACAGAGAAGCAAAAGACATGGAGAGAAGAGTCTTTTTATACAGTTTCTTTCATACCCACCCTCTCATCAGAATGTGCTTCGTTATCATAAAAGACGGAGATTTTAACCAGTCATAGACCTTTAATGTCCACGCTTCACATGGGGTGATTATGCGGTGAATCTGCAAACAGGATTCTGGGAACATACAGTTTTCCTTCCGAATACACTTGTTTGGAGAACGAGGCTTTCAGTTTCTGTCGTTTCTCAGCTCTCTGCCCTTGTTAGTTCACACGGCACACACCACTAAAGATCTGTGTGCCATTCTTTGGAGCTTTAATGCTTCTTTGGGTGTTCGTGACAGTGTTATTGCTTGCGTTAGATGCCTGATTGGCCCTGGTAATGACAAAGGGCTGAAAGACGAAGGAATAAATTCTCCTCCTTCACAGAAGATACACTCAGGCGAGAGGCAAGAAGACAGAGCACAAAATTTGACAACATTCATACTCAAATCTAATGAGCCGTTGATGCCACCTCCATGTGCTCAAATTGCTTTGGAGAGGGAAGGCAGAGAGAGTCAGTAGTGTCTATCAGACAGACGGTGATATAAGACTGTGAGCGCGCCTTTGAAGCAGACAGGTCTGGCTCTTGCTCAATGCGAAAAAAACATGAGCTTTGAAGTGCGCTCTTGTGTGAGCGCTCTCCACACTTATGTCCCTGCAGATGCACAAACTGTCAAAGGGTTCTGAATGCAGTCCCACTCAATTGCATCAGCAGTGTGTGGAACAACCCCTCAAACACACGCATGCATACGTACACACATTGTCACAGGCACTGAAAGAGCTGAAATCTGTCTGTCCTCTGAATCCCTCAAAGTCACACATCACAAGCCCAACAGCAGTGTGACATCATGGTTCAATAGTTGTTTCCAAAAACACTTTTTAGACAGGATTATGTGTAAACACAATGTTTTGTTATGGGTCATTCAAGTGGGTAATTAGATTTAACATCAATTTAAAAACATCAAACACATCCATTTACAATTAAATAAAGGGCCTATTAACCCTTTCATGCATGAATTATGGAAAACATGATCTAGATTTTTTTATGATTCTTTTTATGACTTTAATATGATGCTAAAATTGAAATCCATTTTCATTTTTACAAAATTCAGTTTTATTTAAAAATTATTTAACTGTACACGTATGGGGACACCCTGCAACAAAGGCGTAAAATGGGACATAAGCTGGGCACAGCTGACAATATGGAATATTGTGTTTTTTTAATGGCATGTTATGCTATTTATATCAGCTTAGTTAATAAAAACAATAATATTACAATATAATAACAATAAAACACATATTGTAGGAACAATAACAGTAGTTACATATATGCGGAAACCTATTAGCAATATGGGCAAATCATGGAAAACATTCACTGCTGATCGTAACAACTTATGCTGTCACTGTCACTTCCACTGTCCTCTGGGATATTCTCTATTATTCTGTACTGACTCGACCTATGCTGTCCCTGTTTGGAAGGCAAAATGCAAATTTGTCTCCATATGTATGTGTAAAGTTGCCATTTAATGCTGTAATATGTAATTTTAAATGGTTATTTATGTTGATATATTTGTTAAATGTCTGTTTTATAACAATGTAAGACAATTCATAAAAAATTGAATAGATATACTAGCAGGTTACAGAAATCAGACTTTATGCAATCTGACTCCACTGTTGCATGACGTCCACATACGTGGACAGTTGGTTTTTGATGAATAAAAACTACATTTTACTCTAAATTTTAGTTTATAAAATACTAACATATTCTTCATACTTTACTGTACATACTAATATTTCTTTTTCTTACCTCAATTGACCTCCTTGTATAAAAGTTTTTCACAGATATGCCTGGGGCATTTAGCACATGGCTATCGCTGTCACTGTCAGCCATCTTGGATTAATGATGTCATCAAGCAATGAATATTTGGAATGCGAGATAGTAGCCACTGTTACAATATTGCTGTCAAGTAGGGCTGCACGATAAATCGCATGCGATATTTAATGCTCATCTTGTAAGAAAGCCGGTTCTGTAATCAGCGGTAAATCTCCATCATGTGTGTGCTTTCACATTGAGCAGGGCTCAGGTGGGTGTCAGATTTTCACTGATGTACACGTCCAATTATGCCAAACTACAGTTGAAAGTCTTTGAAGCCCTTACTGCTGAGAGCGATAAGCTGCTGTAAATTTTTCATGACATGGTCAAGGTGAAGTGAACTTAACACTACCAAAAGCTCAGACTTTAAAAAAAAAGCTGAAACAAGGAGTTTCTCCACAAAAACGAACTTGTGAGTGACAAAAATATTGATATGGTTGCTGGAAGCCTCAATTTCGGTATGCATGAGCATATGCAGTGCTAAAATGTTGCATTTTAATTAAAACAAACTTTTAGCTGTTCGTTGAAAATTGTCTACTTCCAAAAAAAAAAAAAAACAAAAAAGAAAAAGCTGACTTTTGCTGTTTGGGTGGAATGGTTACATAAGATGCTTTGCCAATTTCAAGGCATTTTCTTGATATTGATATAAGGTAATCCTTCACTAAACTTTTAGCTGTTCGTTGAAAATTGTCTACTTCCAAAAAAAAAAAAAAACAAGAAAGAAAAAGCTGACTTTTGCTGTTTGGGTGGAATGGTTACATAAGATGCTTTGCCAATTTCAAGGCATTTTCTTGATATTGATATAAGGTAATCCTTCACTAACACTACATAGGCTATACACTATGGTGTTAGCAAACTAGTCCATAAGTCAAAAGTGAGGTAAATAATTCCACGTAAGTGTGAACAGTTTGCATTTAACTAACTCAAAACAAGCACGTTTTTTCACCATGTACAATTTACACTTACGGCAGCACGTCAAAGTAGATTCTTGTCGAGTAAATGGGAAACAAGTCGACTAAGTATTACTTCATTCAGTACATAATTCATGATCTGTATCCCCATTCAACACTTGAGCCTAATGGCACGTGAAGCGCTACATCAATGAACGGCGCGCAAATATAATGCGCGTAGCCCAGAAAGATAAACAAAAGCTCACCAGCATTTCTCAGTTTCCGATTCCTGAACACCGAAATTATGACTAACAGGTTACCCAAAACATCCACCACAGTGGTGAAGATCAGCACGCTGGCCAGCACCGCTATTGCCCAGGCAGGGCGCGCGCTCGAACCCAACGCGCGACCGACGTGCCCCGATTCTGTGCTGTTCGTCAGAAAGGCGATGTTGTCTGGCATCCCGGACCAACTTGTTCTCCGAGGTTTGGTTTGTTAAAGGTTATTCACGCAACCTGAGGTAGTAAAGAGAAAATAAACTTAAGAAGGGACTGCGCATTTTAAACTAAAAGCGTGTATATTTGAACATAGTATATTTTCTTTCTATTTGTATTTTCCGTACTTGTAAAAAGCGAGTCATTCCAGCTGCCTTTCAACAGAAGTTGTGGACAGTTTAGCCATACATTTCTGTCGCCTCTGGTTGATTGATCCGCGCTCCTCTCATTCCTCTCTGCAGAAGTGCGAGATAGAGTCCGTCTCAACATCTTCAGCACCTCAAACTCATTTCTGACTTGTAGGTCAGTTGTTTATCTAGCACGAATTGTCACCTTGCTTCCCCCTCACCTTAAAACTACTAAGGAGCAGGGCAGTCTTGGCACTGTTTTGCCCCATGGCGACCGTTACGTTCGCTCCAAGTTATTTTTTTAAACCAGCTGCTCAGAATTGTAAATCCAGCGCGTGATCAGAGGGGAATCTGGCCAGATGATTGGCTCGCGCTCCGAGCTGAGACAAATCCCGCACAGCGCAGAGCATCTTTTATTTGCGCGGGAGTTGTCATAACAACCCCTGCGCGCCTCCAACCTGAGGTACAAGAGTGTATGTGATTACACTTCGTGTGTGTGTGTGTGTGTGTGTGTGTGTGTTGTGTGTGTGTGTGTGTGTTGGGGACGTCCTCATTTGTAAAACTGGTATAAAAATAAAGTAAACAAAAAAATTTTTTTGAAACTGTAAAAATGCAGAAAGTTTTCTGTCAGGGGTAGGGTTAGGAGTAGGGGTGGGTTTAGGTTAAAAAGTGTATAAATATCTGTAGATAAAAACAATAGAAGTCTATGTAATGTCCCTATTTAGATAGCTAAGTAAATGCGTGTGTGTGTGTGTGGTGTGTTTTGTCAGGTAACCAAAACGTATTTTACGTGGTGATCTAAATTTATTTTGTTCTTTACATGACGGAATCAACCTGTTCACATTATAGGTTACACCTAAAGTTATCAGGTAGATCCCTGAGTTGACAACGATTTTTAATTTATATGCATAGTACCTTAAATGGACGTGGGTTGAAGTATAGCCTACATGAGGTCAATGTGGAATTAAAATTTTAACCCCTCAAAGGACTTTAAAACAAAAAAAGACCCCTAAAATAAGTAATACTATTGCATTAACGATTAAAACAGGCATTTATTAATAGGGTACATGGAAAAAAATACCATTTCAAAATGGTATGTCTCTAAATCTGCAATCAATAAATTCAGTCCAGCTGAATGAAAAAAAAACTTGAACTGATGTACTGAGTGTTGTTGAATGAATGTTGTCTGCTAAAATGTACATTCTATGACAACACGTTTTAAAATGAATAGCACTGAAGACGTAACAATGATTACCAATCTGAAATCTGAACAAAACTGAAATCACAGCTCACATTTTTACCTGTAGTCAATTATATGGGGGTTAAAGTTACTTTTGTAACTATAGTAACAGTTGGCAGATGCGTTTTCTCTCAGCATCATTATTAGGTCGTTGAAAGCAAAAACTGTTCCATACTTCTGAGAGGTATCACAGTATAGCTTATTCAATTCAATTCAAGTTTATTTGTATAGCGCTTTTCACAATACAAATCATTGCAAAGCAACTTTACAGTAGAAGTTTCATCTGGTCTTGTTGAGATATATAGTTGAGTATCATCAGCATAACAGTGGAAACTAATCCCGTATTTTCTAATAATATTACCAAGGGGCAACATGTATATTGAAAATAGCAGAGAACCTAGGACAGATCCTTGTGGCACTCCATATTTTACTGGTGATAATTGAGATGACTCCCCATTTAAATGAACAAAGTGGTAGTGATCGGACAGGTAGGATAAATCATCTTAAAGCCTGCCCTTGAATACCCATATAGTTTTGTAATCGATCTATGAGTATGTCATGATCTATAGTGTCGAACGCAGCACTAAGATCAAGTAAAACTAGCAATGAGATGCAGCCTTGGTCTGACGCAAGAAGCAAGTCATTTGTAATTTTAACAAGTGCAGTTTCTGTGCTATGGTAGGGCCTGAAACCTGACTGAAATTCTTCATAGAGATCATTTTTTTGCAGGAAGGAGCACAATTGAGCAGACACAACTTTTTCTAAAATTTTAGACATAAACGGAAGATTTGAAATGGGTCTGTAATTTGCCGGTTCACTAGGATCTAGTTGTGGTTTCTTAATAAGAGGCTTAATAACCGCCATCTTGAATGGTTTTTGGACGTGACCTTTGGACGTGATTTATGGGTACAGAGAGCAGTTGAGATAAATCAGGCAGGTTATTTGTGAATCTGTCTTTGGTGGCTGGAACAATAGTTCTGCCCAGACGATAACGCGGAGCCATATAGTTAATATCAGTAATACGCAACATGCACGATACAAGGAAATGGTCAGTAAATTGATTTATAATACTTAAGAAACAGGTGTATAATAAAATGTTCAGTAAGAATACAAAAATAATACAAATCAATTCATGTTGTAACAAATCTCACACTCACAAATAAACTGATTGCTCCGTGCGAATAGTTCAGTTGGGTAATGAATGATAGCAATTTAATATGATTTTTTATATCCAAAAACCAGAGGCCTTTGTTGTTCTCCTTTTACTTTAGTACTCCTTTACTTTTGAATACATAAAAGCTTGAATCATGAAAATCACAATATTTTCAATATTAATCTTTCCGTCACTTGAGTTCTGACCTCTCCCACGAAGGCTGCATAATTTACACCTGTCGAAAGGCCAGGACGCACCAAGCCGACTTCAAAGAACTAGCAGCAACTAAAGCCGACGGTGTAGTCACCTCACATCGGCGGCGTCTGGACCAAAAAGCTGTGCTTGAACACTCCACTCAAACTACAGCCAACTGCAAGCTAACACGTGCGTTCTGCGCTTGCGTGAGAGGCTATATCAGCAGCTATCAATATACACCGATCAACCATAACATTATGACCACCTTCCTCATATTGTGTTGGTCCCCCTTTTGCTGCCAAAACAGCCCTGACCCGTCGAGGCATGGACTCCACTAGACCCCTGAAGGTGTGCTGTGGTGTCTGGCACCAAGATGTTAGCAGCAGATCTTTTAAGTCCTGTAAGTTGTGAGGTGGGGCCTCCATGGATCGGACTTGTTTGTTCAGCATATCCCACAGATGCTCGATTGGATTGAGATCTGGGTCAGGGTGCATTATCCTGCTGAAAGAGCCCACAGCCATCAAGGAATACTGTTTCCATGAAAGGGTGTACATGGTCTGCAACAATGCTTAGGTAGGTGGTACGTGTCAAAGTAACATCCACATGGACCCCAGGTTTCCCAGCAGAACATTGCCCAAAGCATTACACTGCCTCCGCTGCCTTGCCTTCTTCACATAGTGCATCCTGGTGCCATGTGTTCCCCAGGTAAGCGACCCGACCATCCACGTGATGTAAAACAAAGCGTGATTCATCAGACCAGGCCACCTTCTTCCATTGCTCTGTGGTTCAGTTCTGATGCTCACGTGCCCACTGTTGGCGCTATTGGCGGTGGACAGGGGTCAGCATGGGCACCCTGACTGGTCTGCAGCTATGCAGCCCCATATGCAACAAACGTCGATGCACTGTGTATTATGACACCTTTCCATCAAAACCAGCATTAACTTCTTGAGCAATTTGAGCTACAGTACCTCGTCTGTTGGATCGCACCACACGGGCCAGCCTTCGCTCCCCATGTGCATCAATGAGCCTTGGCCGCCCATGACCCTGTCGCCGGTTCACCACTTTTCCTTCCTTGGACCACTTTTGATAGATACTGACCACTGCACACCGGGAACACCACACAAGAGCTGCAGTTTTGAAGATGCTCTGACCCAATTCTTATGATTGCCCATTTTACCTGCTTCTAACACATCAACTTTGAGGACAATATGTTCACTTGCTGCCTAATATATCCCACCCACTAACAGGTGTCGCACCACACGGGCCAGCCTTCGCTCCCCATGTGCATCAATGAGCCTTGGCCAGCCATGACCCTGTCACCGGTTCACCACTGTTCCTTCCTTGGACCACTTTTGATAGATACTGGCCACTGCAGGCCGCGAACACCCCACAAGAGCTGCAGTTTTGGAGATGCTCTGACCCAGTCGTCTAGCCATCACAATTTGGCCCTTGTCAAACTCGCTCAAATCCTTACACTTGCCCATTTTTCCTGCTTGTAACACATCAAGTTTGAGGACAAAATGTTCACTTGCTGCCTAATATATCCCACCCACTAACAGGTGCTATGATGAAGAGATAATAAGTGTTATTCACTTCACCTGTCAGTGGTCATAATGGTATGCCCAGTGTATATTTGCCATTCAAAAGGAGAAACCGAAACAATGATATACGCAGATATACGAAACGTAAAAAAAGCTGTGCTAGCTTACCATTTTGAATATGATGACTTTATTCGGCTCATGTTGTTATGACAATATTCGCATATTGGAATGCTTTGGTAAGATCACGTAACATTCCATAACTTCAGTCTGTGCCGCCTTGCTCGTTTTCATCACTTTCACTTTAATTCTCGGGCACTGACTCGTTTGCTAAACTGAGTATCCAATGAGAGATCTCACTCTCGCCGACGACCCTGACGATGATTCAGTATGCCGAATCGGGCAAACTGCCACCGACGTGAGCCAATGGGAGAGCCGACGTGTGGAACACACCAAAAAAACTAGACCACTCGCCAATGGCTGACCATCGGTTTGGTGTGTCCTGGCCTGAAGAGTGCTACAGGGTTGACTTATTTTTGCAGTCAAAAACCCGTAAATGAGTTTGCATTTTAGCGCTTCTGGTTCCATTGTCCTGAAGTCAATGGGTTTTTCGATAAATGCTTGATGTAAGGTCTGTGGTTAAAACAGCTCAAGATATTTTCACTTTTTATTCTACAACATAAAATATTATGTGGTTAAATCTTATCTTGAAATAGGTGGTTGCTAACTAGGGGACTACAAAGGTTGTCTGGGACTTCAACTGCTATCATGCCGAACAGGTAAACTGATCTATAGTCTGCTTTTAAAGATTTGCAATGTTTATAATTGTGCTTTTTTTTTTAGATTGGCCTTCAAAAATACATCATCACTGCAGCACTCTATTGGTTCTCAAGAGCTGCCTCAGCAACCAACGTCGAACACTGCAGGATCCCAACAACACACTGCATTTGTCATCACGGAATAAGATTTCCCTCTATTCCATTGAACAATAAACACACTGTGAAACGAAATAGCTTTTTTTTTTTTTCAAATAATATTAGTCACTGGAATCAAACACTGAAATTGAAATTGCAATTTAAGATATGCCAACACAATCTCATGGCAATTTGTGACTTCGTTTTAGCAAATTGCTGGTGAATCTGA